TGATTTGTGAAGCAGTCATTCTGTCCCTCCTCTGAAGAGTGAAAGTGCGTGAAGGAAACGATCAGAGAACTGAAGGACTCGGAGAAACCAAGATTGAACAGTTTCCTCAGTATGATTTTTTCCACTCCATCCATCGCACCAGGTTTTTGTTTGTGTCAGTATGTGTGTAGAGTTCTTTTAAAAGGGGCATAGAGTTTTACCAAGTGTGTCATTTACACGTTGTCAGTTCATTGTTGTTTACCTGTGGTTAGAATCGATTTATTCGTAATAAGCAGTAGTTCTTGTTAAGTGTGGAAACACGGCCTGGGTTTTCTGTTAACCCATGCCTATCAGAAAGGTAAATTGTGAAATTTGTGTCCTTTGATAAATAAAACTTCTGTGACAACTTTGGGAATAGGCAAGCTTGATTTTCAGAATGGTATCCCAGTGAGGCTTAACAATTCTGAAAGCAGCAGTGGCCTTTGTTTTATTTATCCACAGGATGTGGGTGTCCCTAATTACCTTATGTGTCAACCACATTGCTGACAGTAGGGAGTCACATGTAGGCCAGAGCAGTGGCAGTTCCCTTCCCTAAAGGATATTAGTGAACCAGATGGGATTTTCCTGACAATCACCAATCATCATTAGACTCCTAATTCCAGATATTTATTGAATTCAGATTCCACTGTCTCCAGTGGCCCTGGTCCCCAGAATATTGCCAAGGTCTCTGGATTAATAGTCTAGCAATAACACCACTAGGCCATCACCTCCCTGCCTGCCCAGTTCACCATGTAATATCTTGCTTACTAACATGTAGGGCTTTATATCATATTGAACAGTGTTACCTCACATACTTGTCAAGCAAGCGCCAGGCACAGTCATACTCAGTGAATCTTGCAGCCAATATTCTGCAGTCGCCATCCCATTCACAACTGGATATGGCAGCATTCCAGAGTTTTGACTTAATTCATTGGTTGTCGGATCACTTGGCTCTGTCTATTGTGTGCTCCTTCTGCTGTTTATTATGGATGCAGTCTTGTGTTGTGGCTTCATCAGGCTGATGCATCATGCCTGATGCTGCTCTTCATATACTATCTGACACTCCATAATGGGATTGATGCTAATGGTAGACTGAGGCATATGCTGTACCGTAAGGTTACAAATAATAAGTGAAAACAGTTTTGTTGCTGTTGATAGCCCCAAGCACCTCTAAGCTGCTCAGATCTGTTCTCAATCCTTCCCAATTTAGCACTGTAATAGTGTCCTTTTCAATTCTTATTCATGGATTGCGGGTATGATAACGTCAGTATTTGTCACCCAACCCTAATCACCCTGGAACTGAGTGGGTTGTGAGGTCATTTCAGAGGACAGTTAAAACTCAACACATCCTGCGGGTTTGGAGACACAGCAGACCAGGCAAGGATGGCAAGTTCTCTTTCTGAAAGAACATGAGTGAATCATCCGGGTTTTTAATGATAATTAGTAGGTACGTGCTCGTCAATGCTAACACCAAATTTTTATTTCAGAATTATTTAGTGAATTGAACTTAGGTTAATTAAGTTCAAGAAGTGGCATTTGTAACGAAAACAGAAATTGCTGGAAAAGCTTATCAGGTCTTGCAGTGTCGTAGAGACAAAGCAGGGTTCATCTCTGATTTCTCTCCACAGTTGCTGCCAGACCTGCTGAGATTTTTCCAGCAATTTCTATTTTGGTTTCTGATTTCCAGCATCTGCAGTTATTTCAGTTTTCTATTAAGTGGTATTTGTATCTCTCTATGTTGGTGATATTGTTTCACTCTGTTGTGTTTCTGAATTACTCTGCAGCATGGGAGTAATCTGATAGGTATGTCTGACCTGAATGTCCCAGATCAGCTGTACCAATACATGGTGGGAGGACACAGACGCACCCAACCTGGAATTCACCGAGAAAAGCACAAATCGCCTAGTTATCAAATAAAGGTCTGTATTTTCTTTTCACTATTCAGTTGCTGTCATGTGCAAAATTAATGCCACCAGCCCAAAGTGAAGTGTGACATTATGCTTTTCAGACATCCGATTCATCATGAAACTGTGTAGATTTTTACAGCATGGAGAGTGACTTTCCAAACCCTCTGTGCTGCTACCAGCTCTTTGGAAGAGTTAACAACTTTGACCCATTTATTTCCTCTCCTTTCCCAACATTTTCTTTTAACTCCTTCCAACAGTTATCCGCTTCTCTTTTTAAATTCTTGTTGAAAAGATAGATCGGGGCGCTTTCTAGATGGTATGAAGTTAAATACAGTTGATGCTAGATCAGTTATTGATTTTCAATCTGTGATAGATAATTGTTTTTGGTAAGCAAAAGTATTTAGGGATGTGGGCCAAAGGTCACAGATCAGCCACAATCTCATTGAATTGCAGAACAGGCTCACAGGGCTGGATGGCCTACTCCTCCTATGCTATGGATTCTCTTATTTCCCCAGTTTTTCAGGAGACCATCCCAGGTCTGTAACACTAATAGTAACTTTCTGCTAAACTCCCCTTTGTTCTCTTGGTAATAATCTTAAGTTTATGCCTTCTGCTTGCCACCCTGTTGGCCAGTGGAATTAATTTCCCCAACTTGTCAAAATCCTGTGTAGTTTTGAACATCATGGTCAGATTTTCTCTTAACTCCTTTTATTGGAATGAATGAGCCTCAGTTTCTCAAACCATTATGTTTCATTGAAGTGCCTCCTTATTCAGGTTACTTCTCTGGATCATTCCGGCCCAACAAGACTGCTCAGCTCAAAACTGGGTCCAGTGCAAAATGTCATTGATTTGTACTGGTTTAGCTTTTTCTTTTTTGATTTGTACTCTCATGCAGTTTTGGGGAAAAACTGTCCAGTCCATTGTATATTTTACTACTTGTCTTCTCTCTTTAAAAGATATGTGTAGCCTAACCCTCAAGTCTCTCTACTCCTCCACTTTGAAAGTTTAGCATGAGAGAAGAAACCTGATGCATTCGGACTTGTTTTGTTTTAATCATTCTACAGAGGCTTATTGTAAATCTTCTCTTTGACAGGAGGGGGACACCGTGAATGTGGATGTTACGTGTCCTGGAGCCACACTGGCTTTAGCCTTACTTTATTTGAAAACAAACAACAGGTAGGGTAAAATAGAGTTAAAATCCTCAGCTAAGCAAAGGTTTGGCTTAGATGTACATGATGGGCAGCATAATTTCAATTATTTCCAAGGGAGACATATCCTCTACAGCAAGTATATCATCCCTTAAGTAGGGAGAACTGCACACAATACACCAGGTGTGATCTCACCAAGACTGTATATAATTGCAGTAAGAAATCTTGACTGCTGTTTTCAAATCAGCATGAAAAAATTTGCAAGCGACTTGCTGGGACTAGAGGGTTTGGGTTATGGGGAGAGGCTGAATATGCTGGGGCTTTTTTCTCTGGAGCGTTAGAGGCTGAAGAGTGACCTTATAGAGGTGTATAAAATCATGAGGGGCGTGGATAAGGTGAATAACCAAGGCCTTTTTCCAAAGGTGGGGGATGTCCAAAACTAGATGACATAGGTTTAAGGTGAAGGGGAAATATTTGAAAGGAGCCTGTCAGGTTGCAGTTTTGCTCAGAGGGTAGTGCATGTATGGAACGAGCTGCCATAGGAAGCAGGTAGAATTATAACATTTTAAAAGTATCTGGTTGGGTACGTGAATAGGAAGGCTGAAGAGGGATGTGGACCAAATGCTGGCAAATGGGACCAGGTTAAATTGAGATATCTGGTCATCACAGATGAGTTGGGCTGAAGGGTCTGTTTCTGTGCTGTATGACTCTGTGACTCTATAATTGATTGCTATAAGTGCATGATGACTTAAAGTTAATCATGAATGTGGGCTCTTGGCTTCCTTTGAAGTTTAACATTTCCCACCTATCATTATTTAAGAATTACTCTGTGTTTCTGTCTTTTCTTGCAACATTGATAATTTCACATTTTCCTGCATTGTACTCCATGTAACAATTTTTTTGGAAAAGCCTACTCCCCTAGCCTCTCCAAGCTTCTCCTCTTGAAACATCTTTCTATGTTCCTCAAAATTCACACTTCCACCTAGTTTTTGTGTCATCTGCAGATTTGGAAATATTGCAAATCATTGATATAAGTTTTTCAGCAAAACTTAAACTCCCGTCTTGATTGCTCCCAAGCAACTATTGATTTCTTCATATTTTTAATCAAGATTTAATAAATGATATTTTCCTACAATTACGCACATTGTAACAAGCAATTCCAGAATGATCTTAATTTTGATGGTCTGACCTTTGGGCTGTTGAAAGCAGGAAGAGTCAGTGCACATAAACTGGGCAGGACACATACCAAGGGGGTTATTCTAAAGACGAAAATCTGATGTATTTGTGAGCTATTCCGCAAGATGACAGTGTTCAAAAGATATTTATTGGCTTTTATAGGAATTAAAAATAAAATGATTACCATTGCCAGCAGTGACACAGATATGATGATAATTATACATACACTTGAGATACTTGCGGTAAAATGCTTCACCAAAGAGTTCAGAGATAGTAGGAACTGTCGATGCTGGAGTTTGAGATAACAAGGTGTGGTGCTGGAGGAACACGGCAGGTCAGGCAGCATCAGAGGAACAGGAAAGCTGACGTTTTGGGTTGGGACCCTTCTTCAGAAGAAGTTTACCAAAGTGTTGATTAGGTTTCAAGTTCAATGGGAATAATTTGAATTCTGTAATGTCTGCTCAAACATTTTTCTTCCACCCTGATCACTTACGTTGGCATGTTTCAATGTAATACCTGGTTCAATTAGCTGGAATTCAGTCGTAATAATGACAATCTGTAACCAGGATGGTTCCAGAGGAATCAGTGCTGGGATCACAATCTATGTAATGACTTAGAGGGGAGAAGCTTACCCTGGTTCCCATGTACTTTTGCCTTCATTTTCAGCCTCCCACGTAGGACCTTGTCAAAGGCTTTGCTAAAATCCATATAAATTACATCAACTGCACTGGCCTCATCCACACACTTGGTCACCTCCTTAAAAAATTCAATCAGATTTGTTGGGCATGACCTCCCTCTATCAACAGTGCTTGTTCTGTTATCAAAGAATGCAAGAAAATTTGTCAAACGCAGTTTCTGTTTCACAAAGCCACGTTGACTTGGGTCGTTTTAATTTGAATGGTCCTCCTAATTGAAATCAATTTAAGAGGCAAAAACTAAAAGTTAGCTATTAAACATTTCCATACAAAATCAACTTGAGATTTTAAGCGCCTATGGTGAAATTTCCAGTCTTTTTTTAATAAAAGATTGACACTCTTGGTTGCATCAATGAAAACTTTCCTGGCATTGATAAAGACTATGGTGAGGACTTGATCAAGGTTGAGGTGCTAGAGGATGGGCTGATGGCTCCCTTTAGAGGATTCTGCAGTTCCCAGTTTTCCTGATATTACAGAGGTGGATTGGTTGCCTGTACTTTGTACAGCTGTATTATTCCATGAAGCACTCGTGAGTTATATCTGTGAGTTTGTGGGTGGACCCTCCATTCTGTTCAAAATGATGGACAGACTTTGAATCATCTGTCTGCTTCTTCTCTAGTTCCACCTGAGCTTGCTTTCTCTTCATCCTTCTCAGTGCTTCATAAAATGCTCTGTAGTTCATGCTCCTGGAGATTATATTTGCGTTAAAGTAGGTCATTGTTAGAGAAAGTGATACTTGGATGTGGTAAGATTAACTCTGTTTTTATGTTGCTTAGGTCAATCGCAGACTGGCTGCGAGCCCCGGACACACAATACTTGTTGGACTTTGTGAAGCCAGAATTTCTTTTAATGCGGGTAGGTAATAAGATAGAAGCATGAAGCAGATCCTGTGATAACACACTTTAAACAAAAATCGAGCAGTGTTTTCTTTTGTTGAAACTGAAACATTGTATGTGAGCAAACATTTAGCATAGGTATGCAAAACTGGAGGGAACATTGTGTACAGATGAAGTGTTGTGGAGATAGCAAATAACGTTTTCAAAAGATATCTCATAAGGTATTACATAAGAAAATTGGTGTTGATGCACTTGGTGTTGAAAAGAATTTGTCTGTAGATGAGAAAAGGAAAAGGTAAAGTCATCATCATCCCAGAAGACCATAGGGATGCTCTTTCATTAAAGAGAAAGAGAGAGAGAAAGAAAACTGGTGGTGAGTGTAACTGGAAGGTCACCGCGCCTCAGGCAAGGGACAAGGTTGAGAAGGTGGACCTTCATGGTAGCCTCTCGCAGTGCGGGAGTTGAGCCTGCATTGTTGGCATCACTCTGCATCACAAACCAGCCAGCTGAGTTCCTATATTTGTGTGGTTGATGCCAACTAAACACCCTTCAAAATTTGAGGTCTCGCATGTTACAACCTAAGTACTCTATTAATGACGTGGTATTTCTTAACTACTGCTGAAGAACATCTCTGGTAGTGGAAACTACGTGTTGTGGAATTTGATTGCTTTAGGTTTTAATTGTAGTTGGAGATTTTTGCTGATCTCCCATGACAGAGTCAAGGCTACAAGGAGATCAAAGCTGGGGACTAAATGTTCAGAGGTACTTAACTTTTTGAAAGGATGAGTGGGAAGGGAGGGTTGGTGGGGTAGCTTTGGTGCTCAATGGAATAAGTACAATGACAAGAAATGATTAAGAATCAAATGATGCAGGATCCATATGAGGGAAGGTAAGGATAACAAGGGGAAATAAACACCAGTGGGAGCTTGCAAGAGGACCCGTAACATTAGCTGTTTTGTAGGACAGAGAATAAATCAGCTGATAATGAAAGCTTGTGAAAAAAAAGGCAGCATGTTAATCATGGGTGACTTCAATCTTCATGTAATTTGATAAAATCAAATTGGCAAAGGCTTTTATGAATGAACAACATTCATACTTTGTGAATGCATTCATTGAGTGTATTTGGTGAAGTTTCCTAGAACAAGATGTTGTCGAGTCAGCCAGGAATCAGGCTATTTTGGGTCTGGTGATGCGTAATGAAGCAGCTTCAGTAAACAATCCCGAAGTAAATGACCACTCGGTAACTGTGACATAACATGACAGAATTTATTGTTATATTTAGGAGGTAGGAACTTCGATTGGAAGCAAAACTTGCATAACAGTAATAAAATTGGGCAAAGGTGGCTGGAGTGGACTAGGAAAGAAGTTTAGCAGAAAAGACAGTTGACGAGCAATGGCCGATGTATAAGAAAATAGTTTGTGCCTCAACGATGAAGTTATATCCTAGTGAGGAAGAAGTATGGGCATAAACCGATCCGAGTTAACCAAGGAAATTAAGGACAGCGTCAAATTAAAAGAAAGAAAATATACAGTCTGGCAAAGATCAGTGGTAACATTGACGACTGGGAAAGATTTAAATGCCAGCAAAAGATAACCAAAAAATGAGGGGAAAATAAACTATGTACACTAGCAAGTAACATAAAAATAGATGGTAAGAGCCTTTTTTAAATATACAATATGGAAAAGAGAGAACGAAGTGAACAGAGACCATATTTGGAATATTGTGAACAGTTTTGGGCCTTGTATCTAAGAAAAGATGTACTGGCCTTGGAGGGGGTCCAGAGGAGGTTCACAAGAATGATTCCAGGATTGAAGGGTTTGTCATATGAGGAGCAGTTGAGGACTCTGGGTCTGTATCTGATAGAATTTAAAAGGATAAGAGAGGAAATCTTATGGAAACTTACGGAGAGGCCTGGAAAGAGTAGAGAAGATGTTTTCATTCGTAGGAGAGACTAGGACCCGAGGGCTCAGCCTTAGAGTTAAGGGACAACCCTTTAGAACTGAGAAAAGGAGGAATTTCTTCAGCCAGAAGGTGGTGAATCTGTGGAGCTCATTGCCATTGAAGGCTGTAGAGGCCAAGACTTTGACTCATAAATTCATACAGCACGGAAACAGACCCTCTGGTCCAACTCCTCTGCGTCAACCAGACCATCCCAAACTAATCTAGTCCTATTTGGCCCATATCCCTCTGAACCCTTCCTATTCATATACCCATCCAGATGCCTTTTAAATATCGCATTTGTACCTGCTTCCACAACGCATTGAGTGCATTTAAGACATAGATTCTTGATTAGTGAGGGCATCACAACAGGTCTATCCCAGAACTCTGTGGGAAGCTAGGGAAGAGATTTCTGGGCCCCTTTCTGAGATATTTGTATCATTGATTGCCATGTTTGAGGTGCCGGAAGACTGGAGGTTGGCCGAAATGGTGCCATTATATAAGCAAGGTGATAAGGAAAAGCCAGGGAACTATAGACTGGTGAGCCTGACATCAGTAGTGGCTAAGTTGTTGGAGGCGATTCTGAGGGACAGAATTTACATGTATATGGAAAGGCAAGGACTGATTAGGGATAGACAACATGGCTTTGAGCACAGGAAATCGTGTCTCACTAACTTGATTGAGTTTTTTGAAGAAGAGACAAAGAAGATTGGTGAAGGCAGAATAGTGAACATTGTCTACATGTACTTCAGTAAAGCGTTCGACAAGATTTTGCATGAGAGACTGGTTAGCCACATCATATGGAATCTAGGGGAATAGCCAATTGGATATGAAATTGGCTTGATGGTAGGAGGCAGAGGGTGGTGGTGGAGGGTTGCTTCTCAGACTGGAGGCCTGTGACCAGTCGTGTGCCGCAAGCATCGGTGCTGGATCCACTACTTTTTGTCATTTATATAAATGATCTGGATATGAATATAGGAGGTATGGTTCATGGGTTTGCAGATGACACTAAAATTGGTGGTGTAGTGGACAGTGAAGAAGATTATCTCCGAGTGCAACAGGACCTTGATCAGATGGGCCAGTTGGCCGAGGAGTGGCAGATGAAGTTTAATTTAGATAACTGTGAGGTGTAGCATTTTGGAAAGGCAAATCAAGGCAGGACTTATACACTTAATGGTAGGGTCCTGGGAGTGTTGCAGAACAAAGAAACCTTGAGGTGCAGGTACATAGTTCCTTGAAAGTGGAGTTGCCGGTAGACAGGGTGGTGAGGAAGGTGTTTGGCATACTTGCCTTCATTGGTTAGTGCATTGGGTATAGAAGCTGGGATGTCATGTTGTAGCTGTACAAGACATTGGTTTGGCTGCTTCATAGAATCATAGAATCCCTATGGTGTGGAAGCAGGCCATATGGCCCATCGAGTCCACACAGCCCCTCTGAAGAGCATGCCACCCAGACCCAGCCCCCTACCCTGTCCCCGCATTTCCCACCCTCGACACTATGGGCAATTTAGCATGGTCAATCCACCTAACCTGCGCATCACTGGAGCACCCGGAGGAAACCCACGCAGACAGACGGGGAGAATGTGCAAACTCCACACAGACAGTTGCCTGAGGCTGGAATCTAACCCGGGTCCCTGGCGCTGTGAGGAAACAGTGCTAACCACTGAGCCACTCTGCTGCCCTTTTGGAATACTGTGTTCAATTCTCATCTCCCTGGTATAGGAAAGATGTTGTTAAACTCGAGAAGGTGCAGAAAATATTTACGTGGATGTTGCTGGGGTTGGAGGGCTGAAGCTATAGGGAGAGGCTGAATAGGCTGGGGCTTTTAATCCCCTCTGGAGTGTCGGAAGCTGAGGGGTGACCTTATGGAGGTGTACAGAATCATGAGGGGCATGGATCGGGTGAATAGCCAAGGACTTTTCACCAGGATAGAGGAGTCCAAAGTGAGAGGAGAAAGATTTAAAAGGAACCTGAGGCATCCCACCCTGTCCCAAGCAGACTCCTGGGACCATCCAGATACAAGAAACCTACAAGAAAACGACGAACAAGTGCCAACCTGCAAGTGAGACTGAAACTGTGCAGTTTCAAAACTCCCCTCCCCGTAGCAAGTGTCCAGGATATTGAAAACAAAATGGATGAACTCAGACCCAGACTTACCTTCCAGAGGGAATTGAGGAACTGCTGTGTGCCCTATTTCACGGAGGCGTGGCTCACTCCTGCCGTACCTGACTGTTGCTTGCAAGCTGAGGGATTCTCCGTACGTCGCCTGGACCACACGGGGTCTTCGGGTAAGGTGAAGGGCGGTGGGGTATGTTTCCTCAACAGCACCATCTGGTGCTCAAACGTGGCGACCCTGGCAAGCCACTGCTCCCCGGACCTAGAATACCTTACAGTAAAATGCCGTCCCTACCACCTACCACGAGTGTTCACCTCCACCGTCCTGTCAACAGTCTACATACCACCCCATGCGGATGTGAAGAATGCCCTGCATAAAATTTACATCACTTCAAACACTCTGGAGATGAAATTCCCCGAGGCGTTATTCATCCTGGCTGGCAACTTCAACCAGATCAACCTCAAGAGGGTGTTGCCAAAGTACCATCAATGCATCTCCTGGCCCGCTAGAGGACCGAACATTCTGGACGACTGCTACACAACCATCAAAAACGCCTATCACTCCATTCCCCATCCACACATCAGATCACAACGTTGTGTACCTCCTCCTAGCTTACGAGCAGAAGCTGAAACAGGAGGATCCCTCACAGAAAGTAGTACAATGCTGATCCAAGGCAGCGGAAGAGCATCTCCGGGACTGCTTGATGTTGGTGGACTGGACTGTATTCAGGTTCTCAGCGGAAAGCCTAGACAAGTACGCTACCATCATCACAGACTTCATTTGCAAATGCGTGGAGGACAGCGCGCCGATGAAGTCAATCCAGGGTGTTCCCCAACTGGAAACCTCGGATGAACCGGGAAATTCACTGCCAACTGAAGACCAGGTGTGCGGCGTTCGAGTCGGCTAAGTCCGCAGAGCCATCAGAGATACCAAGAGGCAGCACCGGACCAAGTTAGAGGCTCAAAGCAACCATACGGACACCCGCCGTCTGTGGCAAGGCCGACATAACATTGCGAGATACAAAATGAAGCAGAGATAACGGACAAAAACACATCCCTCCCTGATGCACTCAATGCTTTCTATGCTCGATTTGAGCAGAATGCCAGCGACGTGGTGTCAGCTGCCCCGACAGTCCCGGACGCACCTGTTCCATCCATCACCGCTGCAGACGTCAGATCGGTCTTCCTGGGAGTCAATCCGAGGAAAGTGACAGGCCCGGACGGAGTCCCCAGCTGTGCACTTGTTCCTGTGCGGACCTGCTAACAGAGGTATTCACTGACATCTACAACCTCTTCCTCCTAGAAGCCAAAGTCCTCACCTGCTTCAAGAAGACAACCACCATGCCAGTACCAAAGAAAGCACATGCAATGTGCCTTCATGACTAACACCCAGTGGCTCTAACCTCCATAGTCATGAAGTGCTTCAAGAGGCTGGTCGCAGCCCACATCAGCTCAAGCCTCCCAGCCTGCCTCAATCCCTGCAATTTGCTGCCCAACATAACAGGTCCACAGCAGACACCATATCCCGAGCCCTGCACTCATTCCTGGAACATCTAGACCACAAGGACACCTATGTCAGACTCCTGCTCATCGACTAGAGCACCGCCTTCAACACCATTATCCTCTCCAGACTGATCTCAAAACTCCGACACCTAGGCCTCAGCTCCGTCCTCTCCAAATGGATCCTCAACTTCCTGACCCACAGACTGTGATCAGTGAAGATAGACAACTGCACCTCCTCCACAATAACACTCAACACTGGAGCCACCCAAGGATGCATTCTCAGCCCCGTACTGTACTCCCTGTACGCTCACGACTGTAGCCAAATTCTGAACAAATGCCATCCACAAATTTGCTGATGACACTACTGTGGTAGGACAGATATCAAACAATGATGAGTCAGAATACAGAAAGTAGATAGAGGGGTTGGTATCACAGTGCAATGATAACTTCTCTCTCAATGTCGACAAAACAAAAGAACTGATCATTGACTTCAGAAAGAAAGGAGGAGAACACGTCCCCGTCCCCATCTACATCAACGGAGAGGAGGTTGAGAGCACCAGGTTCCTAGGAGTGACGATAACCAACACCTGTCCTGGACTTCCCACATAGATGTGATGGTCAAGAAAGCACAATAATGCCTTTTCTTCCTCGGGTGACTTAGGAAATTCAGCATGCCCATTAGGACCCCTCACCAACCTTTACAAATGCACCATTGAAAGCATACTGTCCAGATGCACAATCGCCTGGTATAGCAACTGTTCTGCACAGGACTGTAAGAAACTACAGCAGGTTGTGGGCACAACCCAGACTATCACGAAAGCCAGCCTTCCATCCATGGATTTGTCATGGAAAGGCTGCCAATGTCAAAAAGACACCTCCCACCACGGTAATACTCTTCTACAACCTCTTCCATCAGGCAGAAGATATAGAAGCTTGAACACAAGTACCAACAGGTTCAAGAACAGCTTCTTTCCTGCCATTATTTGACTGATGAATGGACTCTAACTTCCAATAATGTTGATCTTGCTTCGCACACCTCCTGTGCAGTATAACTTGTATGTCTTACTCTGTCTAAGCACCCAATGATCTTTATGTCCTTGCTTACTATGGTCTGCCCGTACTACTCGCAAGTAAAACTTTTCATTGTACTTAGGTACACGTGACTACAATAAATCAAATCAAATCCAGCGGAGGGGCAGCTTTTTAATGCAGAGGGTGGTGCATGTATGGAACAAGATGCTGAAGGAAATGGTGAAGGCGGGTACAATTACAACATTTAAAAGACATCTGGTTAGGTATATGCATAGGAAGGGTTTAGAGGAATATGGGCCGAATGCTGGCAAATGGGTCTAGATTTATTTAGGATAACTGGTCAGCATGGACAAGTTGGAGCAATGGGTCTGTTTCCGTGCTGTTTAACTCTGACTCTTAAGTATCACGGAGAGAAGACAGGAGAATAGGGTTCAGAAACACATGGTCAAACGGTGGAGCAGACTTGATCGGCCAAATGGCCTAATTCTGCTCCTTTATCTTATGGTCTTATACGCCAGTTAGCTTAACATCTGTCATTGGGAAAATTTTAGAATCCATCATAAAGGATGTAATAGTCTATATAACTAGATGGAGCCAACATGGTTTCACGAAGGGGAAGTCATGCCTGACAAATTTATTTGAGTTTTTTGAGGTAGTAACAAGTAGGATAGGTAAAGGAGGAGAGCAGATGTAATATGTTCGGACTTCTGAAAGACATTCGATAAGGTACTGCAGATGAAGCTACTCAATAAGATGAGCCCATGGTGCTGGGGGTAGTATATGAGCATGGATTGAGAATTCAATAACAATTAGAGGGCTTAGTTTTCAGGTAAAGCAGGACCATTTTTTAACAACATACGCGAATTACTTGGACGATGGAAGTGAATGTATTATCACCACGTTTGCAGGTGTCACAATAATAGGTGGAGAGGCAAGTAATGCACATAGTGCATTTTGGCAGGAAAAATAAAAGAGCTCAATATTATTCAAATCAGGAAAAACTGCAGAAAGGCGCAACACTGAGCAATTTGATGGTCCTCGTGTATGAATCACAAAAAGCTAACATTCAAGTCCATTAGGTAATAGGGAAGGCAAATGGATTATTGGCCTTTATTTCAAAGGGAATGGAGTATAAAAATAGGGAGGTCTTCCTAAAACTATACAAAACACTTATCGAACCACACCAAGAGGACTGTGAACAGTTGAGGGTCCTTATTTAAGGAAAGCATTGGAGGCAGTGCCGAGAAGGTTCACCAGCTTGATTTTGGATGAGGATGAGTTTTCTATGAGGAAAGATTGAATAGCTTTGGGCTTGTCCACATTGGAGTAAGGACAAATGAGAAGAGACCTTATTGAAACCTATAAAGTTCTTAGAGGGTTTGACAAACGTGTGTGCAGAGGCGATAGAACGTGGAGCTGGAGGATCACAACAGGTCAGGCAGCGTCTGAGGAGCAGGAAAGTAGACATTTTGGGTCGGGACCCTTCATCAGTCCTGATGAAGTGTCCTGATCTGAAATGTCAACTTTCCTGCTCCTCGGATGCTGTCTGACTTGCTGTGTCCTGCAGCTCTACATTTTATTGACTTTGACCTCCAGCATCTGCAGTCCTTGCTATCTCCATATATGCAGAGAGGTTGTTTTACATTATAAGAGTCTAGGACTAGAGGGCACCCATATATGACAGATGAGGAGGAATTTGCTCACCTACAGGTTGTGCAGAATCTTTACCACAGTGGGCTGTCAAGGGCTGGGTCATTAAGTCTGTTCAAGACTGAAATAGTTTTTTAAGCAGTAAGGGGATCAGGGGTGATGGGGATAAGGGAGGAAAGTGGAGTTGAGAATTATCAAATAAGCCATTGTCTCATTGAATGGCGGTGCAGTCACAGTGGCCCTAATGGCCTACTTATTCTATGTCTTAAGGTTTGTTTTTAATTTGTTCATGGAATATGGGCCTCCTAGAATGGGGAAAACAATTAAAAATTGTCCTAAGTGCCCCCCCACTTCTCCTTCTGCATTGTTAACAATTTGCACTGTCAACAACTTGACCAGCACAAACTGTGAAACCTGAGTATGCAAGGTCAAGTCTGACTAATGGCAGTCATTACTACATGCCCTGCAAAACTGGGGTCTTAAGGTCGTAAGTGAACTTGTACTGACCTCTTGTTTATAATATCCTCTCTCGCTGAAGGAAACAACCTGGAACACCATTAGCTTTTCTTTTAACTACCTTATCAGAAAGTGATGCTGTCTATAATGTACCTCCAGGTCTCCATGATCCCCTCAACCTTAGCAATATATCTTTTGCAGCTTCCTTTGATGTTCTCAAGAATTAACCATACCTCCGATTTTGATATTATCTGCAGATTTTCACACCACTTCCTCTAGGTCTATATCCAAATAACTGAGATCTGTAGAGAGCAGAAGTGGCCCAGTAACTGAACTCTGTAGAACACCACTATCTAGTTTCAACCACTCTGGGGCTTATTTTCTACTCTTATTTTCTACTTTCCTGCTTATTTTAACAAAGTTTGCTATCCTTCCCTAATTCATCCTGCTTAATCTTCGATGCTTAGTCTTTGGTGAGATGCTACATGGCAGATTACTGAAGTCTATATACACTCTATGTTTACCAGATTTTCTATATACATAATATCCATTACCACATCAACATGGTGAAGTGACAGAAGGCATTGCACAAGTGTTGCCAGCCCAAGCTCCACATATGAAGCTTTTAAGACAAGTGACCAAAAACGTGGTCAAGCAGGTCCATTTTAAGGCATTCAGAAGATGGAAGGAAACTTGTGCAAGGCTGCTTTTCCCAGTCATAAACCAACAAATAATTAGTGTGCAGTATATTGGGTACCAGTATGTTGTACAGAAATGTCTTTTTGTTTGCTTAAGTGTATTATATTTCTGATTCTTTCCTCAGACTCTGGCAAGGGGATTAATTATGTGGGATGAAATAAAACCCAACTCAACATGGATTAACAGCAACATACCACCTGTGAGTATTTTTTCCCCATTCGGCTCTCTTCTGTCTTAATCTGAACCCTTTTCAGAATTTCAGTTCCTTCTTTCATCACATACAATCAGCAAAGGTTTCTTCAAAAACTATGAAGTTCTAACAGGCCGGTGCTGCAAAACCAAATCTGAAGCGATTGCTACAAAAAGCCAAAGAGATCAATGGGAAAAGTAAAGCCTTTTTGGGATGTCTAGAAATGCAGATGCCACAAATAGGTCTGTGTAGTTCCCAGTATTTCTGGCTCAGAGCCGCACAGAATGCAGCCTCCAGTACCATCCCATATGAGAAATCAATTTAAGGGTGTAGCACTGAGTGAAGGAAAGGGCAAATTGGTGTGTCACACTTTTCTCATCTGCTAAACACCTTCAGAGCTGAGATCGGAGGGATGTTATTTTCCTGTCTTGTCAGTAATATCTGGACTAATAACAAAGGTGGGAGGAGATGAATGAGTTTAAAATTCCCGTTATGATTACTTTTGACCTTTGATGTAATATACTAGCCATTCTGCTGATGTAACACACAGCGCTGCAGTCCAGGTTGTTTCTTAACATGGGAAATAACTTCTCTTTAAAAGATGTTATATGGTTTCAACGTAATAGTGACATTGCTGCTGAAAGGGCACCCACTGCTTTTTCATTTGAGCCTGCTGGTGTGTCAGATGTGCCTGCAGGTTTGTAAGGCCTAGAAATGTGGGAAGATTTGACCTGTTTGCACTGGGTTTTACACCAGCCAGAGGGTAGCACGATTCAGTGTTGCGTTGTGGCAACTTTCAAACAGTGATGTTACAAAATACGTACTTCCATCGAAATGCTTTTCTTCCACTGCCACACAGCTTTCAGTGGGGGTTACTGAGGTTAGAAATGACTGCCCTTAGGCACTTTGGTGGCATGCTTGTGCACACATTAATTGGTTTGCCTGGGAAATTTACTGGCTGTTCAATTATGGTTCTGCTGTGGTCAACAACAGCAGTTGTGTTGGTGCTAGCGGGGGCAAGTAACCAGTTAGCAAAGGCAGCAAAATGCAAAATCTGGATGTCTTGAGTGCTGTCCGCATTGAGGGATAGGAAGTTGCATGAGGTGAGGGCAGGAATCCGAGACAAAATCGATTAATTACATTGATCCTCCAAGGACAAATTCAGTGAAGTGACACAGGGTTTTTGCAAAATAGGTGCCTCAGGCACTACTTTCAGGGAATTATACCCTGAATTTTCAGTGCAGAAATGGAAATTGGAAACATATCATGAGAACCAAGGAAACGGACACATTACATACAAGAGTGCATTGCAGAAATACAGATCCAGATTTTGTGGTCACTGTAGAATGAATGGCAGCAACTGTTCATTGCACACAAACTTTCCCACAGACTTGCTGTGAGCTTCTTCCCCTGGCAGTGAGTAAAAATCAACTTGTGCTTTTACCTCTTCAGGGACCCTGGTGTCTCTGTGAACAGGACAAGCACCCATGCATGTAATTAGCCAAATAGATTTAATCATTTCTAAGCAGTAGTCTGAACTGGGAATTGTTAGTTAGAAAACTTAGTTAAATGCAACTCAGAGAAAAGGAAATAGAGGAGTGTGAAAAGATAGGAGAGAGGTGCCAAAGATGGAAAGAAAAGATTGAAGCAATTTCAAAAAAATTCTATGGGTTTTTCTTCTAGACTTCCAACAATAATTCATACCTGAAAAAATGAAACTTTACACTTGTAAATTTTCAGGAGCATGGAGTTTGATTGGTCAGTAGTTAAGATTTATCGCGCCATTACAAATCCACTTGCAGGAAAATAAACTTATTTTTTCTGATGTGACGAGTGGGTAAATATAGAAACTTCACGTACTTTGTGTGTTTAAAAGGTGAGTCTTTTGACAAGGTATCAATGTTAGGAAGTTTTAAAGGAACAAAGCAACTAAGACAGCAACCTCCTAATTTCTGTGTCGCTAGAAAGTGCTGTCTTTTTCATTTTACTATCTGTGAGCATATTGGCTTGGACTTTGTGGTAAAAAATAACTGAGGCTAATGTCGTGAAAGAAAGCAATTTGGAAATAACTTGAAACTTGTACAAAATTTGAAATCTGGAATCTGTCTAAAAGTAAGAAATCCTGGGAACACATGACACATCAGGCAGTAACTGTGGAGAGGAAAACTGAATTGAGATTCACATTGATGACCTTTAACACAAGCTAATCAGTTGATTAATATTTATTTCATCTGATTTAGTTCTTATGTTCCTTGTCTAACTTAAATTGGCACCTCCAGGGATCTAGAGCAGCATACATTATTGGCCAAACAATTGCTCCGTGCTTTGTGATCTTACAACCTGCAATGTACAGTAGCATGCATAACTAGATTTATTACAGTTGAAATATGTTGTCTGCCTTTGTTAGCATAACACCCTTGTGGTTCAGTTTACAATATTAAACACAAACGTTTGAATAGTCATCCAGTAAGTGATGATGGATGACACCTTTTTAATATTGCCTTCTAAACCTTAATGACATAAAATGTGACTGTGCTTTTGCAGTGTGCAGTAGTGGCTTTCATCAACTGACAGTTAAAATAAATGTTCTCACTATTAGTTGAGGATGAGCTAAGACAATGTTTCTGTTGTCATCTAGTTATTGAGACACAGTTCCATTCTTCCTCATTCGCTATGTTTGTCTGAACATTAATCCTGTGCTCAGTATGCTTCATTGACTACCTTTTCACTAAATTAGTCAAAACAACTTAAATTTGTTGTGACCATTGTTGATGGCTTAATATTATTTGAAGAAAAAGACAAGTGTTTGCAACCTTCAGTTGCCTTTGCTGTCTCCCTAGTTATCCCAACCCCTGTGGAATGCCTTGCCATCTTTTTCTACCTTAAATAAGCCTATAAATGCAAGTCATTTATTTATCGCTCAGACATCTGGCTTTGACTGCATTATTTACAGAAAACATGACAAAAGAAATACATCACAGAATTGCGTCAGTGTCTAATATCCTTCTATTGGTGAATGGTGTCCCGAGAGGCTAATGTGGATTTTTTGCACCTTGTCAAAACTACCTTTTTGGCTTTGACCGAATATCTGATCTATCTACCCTATACCACATGGTCCAGCTTGTCTACCATCCCAGTCCCCATGGTCCACCATTCATGACCAATTCTGCCAAGCCTCCAAATTAAATTCCTTCAGATTTCTGGAGTTCGATTCCATTTCTCCCACATTGTGACCTCCTCCAGAGCTGTATCTGACACTGAAGTCTCCATTCCTCTGGCTGAATCATGGAGTCTACACTACTGTCGAGGTTTCACTCGCTATGATTGTTCCTTTAGACATGTGCAACTTGCCGCCTCCTTTATTTGAATTCCTATCTTAAAAGCCCTTATTTTTGGTGGTGGCATCCGTTTCCCCTACAATACTGAAATGATTTGCAGCTGCCTTTGGTGTTCCAATGGATTAACCATACTTCTATCGATTAAGTCAGAAGTCGCATGACACCAGATTATAGTCCAACAGGTTTATTTGAAATCTCATGCTTTTGGAGCGTAGCCTCTTTGTTAGGTGAAGTCACTTCACCTGATAAAGCAGCAGCACTCAAAAGCTTGTGATTTCAAATAAACCTGTTGGACTATAGCCTGGTGGTGTGTGACTTCTGACTTTATCCACCCCAGTCCAACACTGACACCTCCACAACATGGCTTCTATTGATTAGGGACTTGATGGACTGACTGACCTCCGCCTGTGCCTCAGTAAATCTACAGCTTCATCTAGACGTGATTTATTATTTATGACAGTGTATGTTATGCCTGATACAGTGTTCAGTAGTTGATCACTTAGATCAGAAATTATCCAGCTATTCTGTCCAAAGGTAGGAAGTTGTTAAGCTGCCACAGGACCCTCTAAGCTGGGTGGTTCCAAAAGCAACCAAAATATTTTCTTGATATGCTGATTGCAAATTGCACCTTGCTTTCATACGCTAATGGTGAAACTAGATAAGGACGTTTGAAACCTTACGGTGCATGAGCTCACTAAAGCTGCTGCTACGTCTTTCTAACTTCGTGAAAAATAAACTGGAGGATCTGTAGATAGTGTTTTAGGGATGATGAACACCGTCTGTCAATCACACGTGCTTTGTTTTTGTGGTCAAGAATCTCCAGTGATAGTTTTTCTCCATTGCCATTTCTATTTGTTAGAACATAGAACATAGAACAGTACAGCACAGTACAGGCCCTTCGGCCCTCGACGTTGTGCCGAACTTTTACCCTAAACCTAAGGTCTATCTAACCTCCACCCCTACCTTGTTGTTCTATCAATGCTGGCTGCACCTTTCTCAAAGTCCTAAATTGTGGAATTATCTCTCTGTCTGTCCACTATTAAGTTACTCCTTAAAACGGTGTGGAGGAACAGAGGGATCTTGGGATCCACA